ACGATGGTGAGTTCGCTGCTACCAAATTCTGCGAAAATAATAGTTTTTTACTGTGAAAGTGGCCCGCTAATGGAGGCAAAACTTGACTGAAGTGCCGCCCCAGGGCTGGGCCAAAAAAACACCACCCATCGCAAGGGGGAAAATGTGAAAATCCGGGCGAAAAACAAAAGCATGCCTTTAACCTCGAAAGCGGCCAACTCCAGGTGCTGCTCCGGTGGTCAATGGAGTTTACATATTTATATTGAATACAAGTGCCAGCTTTTAACAGAAGCCTTCTCTTTTCAACATTTTTAGCCGCCTAAGAAGGACGCAAAGTCTTCGGCCAAGCAGCCGCAAAAGACACAGAAGAAGAAGGAGGGATCCGGTGGCGGCAAGGCCAAGAAGAAGAAGTGGTCCAAGGGAAAAGTCAGGGACAAGCTGAACAACCAGGTGCTGTTCGACAAGGCCACCTACGAGAAGCTGTACAAGGAAGTGCCCGCCTACAAGCTGATCACCCCATCGGTGGTCTCCGAGCGTCTGAAGATCCGCGGCTCCCTTGCCAAGCGTGCTCTCATCGAGCTGCGCGAGAAGGGTACGTTTGCTGGCTGCACTTCATCACTTAACAAATCCTAATTCGCAACTTCTCCGCTTTCAGGTCTGATCAAGCAGGTCGTGCAGCATCATTCCCAGGTCATCTACACACGTGCCACCAAGGGTGATGAGGCGTAAATGTTTTTCCTTTTGCCCATCTCGCATCGCTGTAGTCGCGGTCGCCTTACAATAGAACTCTGTATCGATAGCACTACGATGACGCTGTGTGTGAAACGTTGAATAAACTTGCTTTCTTATTGATGTAAGGGACATTTACTTGATGTTTAATTGCTATAAAAGTACCCCTTCATCGAGAGGTGTATCACTGAGCTCTGGTCTCAAGGAGTAGACGAAGTTATCTGGCTGGGAACATAATATTAACCGTGGTAATCATTGCAGTGAAAAGCAGTGTTGTTCTTGCAAATCGAATACAATCTTATAATTTCGATTATTATTATTTCATTTCAAGAATTACTTGTATGAATATAAAAATGTCTTTATTGTCCAGCTAGAATGTTTTCAATGAGTAATAATTTTCAAAACACCTGTGTTTATTAGCCGAACTAGTATTTTGAATGGTTATCATATATTAATACATATAATAATAGCATAGCTATTAACCCACTTTCAGCAGAAAGCATTTCGTTTTCTACTAATATAATGGACTAATATGTGTTTATCGAAAAATAACGAATTGCCAATAAGAATTAGTACTCGTCTTCTTCATTCCCGTAAAGCCATTCACCCCCTCAGTTTTCATGTGACAGTGAGCACTCCTGAGTAACTTATTAATTTAATGTTCTGTTGTCAATCTGCATTCGAATAGAAAAACCATTTTAGGATATTTAAGCTGCCTTAAATAAATAAATAAATATTAAACAGGCTATATTAATTTACATACAAGATACATCAAATAGTAATGCACGAAAGAACGCATAAAATAAATTATATTATAATTTATATTTTAAACAGTTTTCAAACAAAATACCAATATATGTAACTAAAAGCCGACCAGTATAATGAATACCCACCCAGTAAACATCCAGGAGGGAGCTTACTGTGCCCGGTTGGCATTCACCACGAAGCGGTGCGTTCGCTCGGTCTAAATGTTTACGTGGTTACCCTTATGTTGATGACAACACGGCAGATTGCTTTGTTGCTGGCAAAGACGGGAGTTCGGTTCTAGTAGCTGGTAGCCAGTAAAAATGAATTAAGCTGTAGCTAAATAGCAGATCGACGAGCCCACGCCGCACAACTGTGCACACAACACGACGACGACGACGTCGAGCAGGAAGCGTTTGGGTTGTGAGGTAATTTCGGAATAAAAAAAAAGAGACCCGCCGCCGCTGATAAAGATTCTCGCGAACCCGGCCAGAAGCGGAGTGAGAATCACGGAATCAGCTGGAGCACGGCTATAGCCACACGATAATACCACGTATGCAAACAATGTGTGTTATCTTAGGTGCTTAGATCTCATGCTGTAGATCTTGTGTTCCTTTGCAGATCCATAAACCGGCAAGATGATACCGCTTTCGCACAAGGACCGGAGCAGCTTGGGCTACCGGATCCGGGAGAAGCTCAACAGCTGGAAGCGACTCATCTTCTCCGACCGCAACTCCCGGAATCTTTTCCTCTTTCTGCTGCTCAACCTGAGCTTCGCCTTCGTGGAGCTATTCTATGGCATTGTGACGAACAGTTTGGGTGCGTGCTTGGCCACTAATGGCTTTTTATCTTATCCCTGTAGTTTATAACCTACTTGATGGTTAATCCGCAGGTCTGATCTCCGACTCATTCCACATGTTCTTCGACTGCACTGGCCTCTTGGCGGGATTGGCCGCCTCGGTTATCACCAAGTGGAAGGCCAATGACAAGTTTTCCTACGGCTATGTGCGCGCTGAGGTGCTGGCGGGCTTTGTAAATAGCCTGTTCCTGCTGTTCATTGCCTTCTTCATTCTGTCGGAGGGCGTGGAGCGACTTATCGAGCCGCCGGAAGTCAAGCACGAGCGGCTGTTTGTGGTCTCCGTGCTGGGACTGCTGGTGAACCTGGTGGGCATCTATGCCTTCAATCACGGCGGACATGGACACTCGCATGGTGGACATGGACACTCCCACGGTGGAGGCCATGGGCACGGGCACTCGCACAGCCACAATGACCCCGACAATCACAATCATCAAGCCATCACCTTGGACAATGGTAACTGCAGCAGGAGATTACAAATTATTATATTGTTCAACCAAATTCCGGAAAACAATATTCTAATAAACACTTCTAAATCAACTAATTTCTAGGTCATGGACACTCACACGATCACGACAGTCATGGGCACTCGCATGGGGACATGTCGGGCAGCAACTCGCAGATCATGCGCGGCGTTTTCCTGCACATCCTGGCCGATACTTTGGGATCGGTAGGCGTGATTATCTCGGCGGTGCTGATGCACATGTTCGGCTGGATGATTGCGGACCCCATCTGCTCCATCTTCATCGCCCTGCTAATAGCGCTCAGTGTGCTGAGTCTCATCAAGGAGTCGATTATGATCCTGATGCAGCGACAGCCCGCCGACTTGGACCGCTCACTTCCTCAGTGCTACCAGAAGGTCACCGGCTTGGCTGGCGTCTATGCGGTGCAGGAGCCGCACTTCTGGACCCTCTGCTCCGATGTATATGTGGGTGCCCTCAAGCTGGAGGTGTCCAAGAACGTCGATCCCAAGTACGTGGTCACGCACACGCGGATGATCTTCGAGGCGGTGGGCGTTAAGCAGATCTACATACAGCTGGATTATGTTTGATCCCGATGGGATCGACCTACCGGTGTCCTTGTACAATGATCTGTATAGTTATCAGCGCGTGTTGTATGTTGGTGTGCAGTCCTCAAAGATTTTGAAATTTTAGCATACTGCGGCGCCACAATACCCCCCATCACTTCCGAAAGTCACCTCCATGAGCTAAGTAAAACAAAATGTTTGATTTTCAGTTGTACTAGTAGTTTTCCGAATTTTGTTAACTTATTAACGTTTTGTATTTGTTGAAATGCGTTCGGCATTCCTTTCCAATTCTATACATACTGAAGGATGGCATAACATACATATGCGATAGTCCATATCGAGGAGCATTAGTGTAATAGTAAGCTAAGCGAAAGAAATTGTGCAAAGGTAAATATAAATATTTAAAGATTTTTAAAAATTCAAAATGAACAAAACCAGAAAATAGCATCTAATTCCGACTGACATTTCCAAGAACATTCCGCCGTGCGGTGGAAGTGTATTAAGTGAATCGTTTTTGCCACAGTTTAAAGCATCAAAATTATGAACGAAATAAAATTTAATTTGTTATTAGCATTTTTATACGTAAACCGAACTGAAAGGAGTTTTAATTCCGGCTGGGTCGGTATTTGTTGGGTTTAAACGAATAACCACTTTCTACTCAAAGGTACTTAATTTGATAAATAGGGTAATTTATCTGTTGGGTTTAAACGAATAACCTTTCTACTCAATCAAAGGTAACTAATTTGATAAATAGGTTAATCCTAATTATTTACCCAGTTAAAATAATCTGATATTGTACTTCCCAGTTTACTCTTTTTGTTTTTATAAATCTTTATACTTTAAAAGACCCCAAAATAATCCAGAATATTTATAACTCATTGTTCTATTCATTGTAAAAAACTTTCCTTGAAACAATGCACCAAAAGATGCTTTAAAAGAATAGGAAGGATGGTTCATTTACGTATATACATATACGTATATAAACATATAAAATCATCAATGAATGAACTAAAAAATCGAAGAAAAAAACTTCTTGCTATTCGACTTGAAAATAATTCATATTTTATATATGTATATTAGATTGTAATATTATAATACAAAATAATTTATATTTGTAAGAAAAAAGATTTGGGTTTTCAAAAAAAACTGATCCGGACATCACATGTTCGTCCTAGCGAGTTCCCACTGTGCGCATCTCTCACGCGACGAACGGCAACAGGTCGACACGTTTCGCTGGAATGGAAATCGCACCTGGGGTGCAGCGCCCCGCCCCAAAGCAGATAAAGACGTACGTATTGCCCGACCTGGAATTAGATTATGGAATCCCAATTTCTATCGAGAGCGGCGCATTTCGTTAGTGTTGTTGAGGTTAGGGTGAAGCCAACGTGAGAAACTGGGGCAAGTCGAACTGCAACGTGCAGAAAATTGTGTGCCAGTGCGCATGACCTCCAAAATGTCCGTTGGTATTGGTGCGGGGCATGTGTACATCACTGTCAAAGGTCAATAACTCCGTGATTGCCCCAAAAAGCAGCAACAACAGCAAAAAACTAACTGAAGTCTGTGACTCAGACGGCGGTGGCGACCTCTCGCTTCCACTCACGCCACCATATGGCGGCGTCTACCTACGCATAACTGTAAATTTGGAATGAAGTACAGACATGCGGATTTAGAGTTGTTTTGTATAGGTGTTCCGTTTAATTTCAGTACTGGTGTTCCCATTTTCGGTCGTAGTTGTTTTTCGATTTCTTAGCGAAAATGCATACTAATTGTAGGTGTTGCTATCAAAATATTATTTTAATTACAATAGTTGGCGCAATTCAATTGTTTAGCTCGCTGTGATTAAACAATAAACATACATAAAGTCGAATTTATGAGTGCTCCGGCCGAAAGAAATCAGAAATAAAATCGCACAGATCGAGGGACAGGCATTTTTGTCAGCATTTTAACATAAATTTAAGACTTTCAAAATTGTAACTAAGCATTTGATAAATATATGTGTAGAAGGTATGCATGAGTATAGGTTCCGTTTGGGGGAAGATGCTTCTGGGGCGGATTGGGATCCATCTAGCATTTCTCCTCATCGAGACCGTGCTTGAAGAACATCAGCACGGGTACGCTGTCGCCGTTGATTTCGCGGTATTCCACCAGGGCCACCATGCCGTCGCAGTCCATGGATTCGCCGGTGAAGAACTGCAGCTCCTTGAAGCGGCCGAGGATGTCCTTCATGGCCTTGTTCATGTTGGTCTTGAAGATATCGACCTGGTCGGGCGACTTCTCCTCCAGCTTGGCCAGCACCTTCTTCATGTAGTCCTTCAGGTAGAGGGTGTACGACTTCTTGTCGCCAAAGGCGAAGCACTCCTGCAGTCGGTGGTTCAGCACAACATCCACGCCCGACTCCGAGGTGATGTCGGTACCCTCGTCGGCCTCTTCGGCGGAAGCATTGGCGCCCTCCAGCTTGATATCGTCACCTTGGCGGGTGATCAGCTTGCCGTACACCTCGTAGATCACATCGTCCACCAGTTTCATCTTGTACGTGTCAGCGAACATCTCGTCGCCGGTGATGATATCCTTGTAGATCTTCATGGTGATTGGGTTGTCGGAAGATGGCGTCTAAATCGCTGGCGAAAATGCAACTACAACTGCACCGGACCGGGAACACTGCGGAACGACCTGCCACGCGCTCACTTGAACAGCAAAAAGAATGAGCGAGAAAAAATGGCGAATGAGCTGCTAACTCGCTCGGTGCTGGCAACGGTCTGGCAACTCTCATTACAGGGTGGCAGCCCCTATTCCACGTATCGATAATATCGATGATTTTTTGCTTATTTAAAAAGAAAAAAAAAAAACAAAAACGTTAAAATTGTTAAGACATCAATATGGATGCAGGTAAGATATAATTATGTGTGTTTCAAAAATAATTATGATATTGTTTTTTTTATTATTCTTCCTTAAGAGAATACAAGAATTTACGCAAACAGTATATTCCATATATATTATTAAGAGCAATATCATAATTAATACAACAATTGTTAAAAGGTGCGCTCTGTCTAACAGTTAATATGAAATCGATACTATCGAAACATGTTTTTACCGGTGTAGTGGCATCACACCTTGCGGTAATATTGCGCACTCAGTGTACGGTCACATCAACACAAGTTCGAGTGAAAAACAAGGAAATGTACGTAATTTCTGCGATGGCACTGCAAAAACCCTGATCTGTGACTGCTTTTTGCAGGTATGCACTCTCCAGCTCGTTGATCCGCTCGCCGGCGCTGCGCCAGGGCCTTCAGATGGCCTCTGCCAGCCGACCGGTGTCGATGAAGGTGGTATCTGTGGCCGAAACCCAGAAGGACGAGTCGTTCTTTGAGAAGAACGAGCGTTTGGGCAGGAAGCTTTCGCCTCATCTGACTATCTACCAGCCGCAGCTGACATCCATGCTCTCGATCTGCCATCGCGGCACAGGGTTGGCATTGGGAGTGGGTGTCTGGGGTCTCGGTTTGGGCGCCCTGATCTCATCCCACGACATCAGCCACTATGTGACCATGGTGGAGGGCCTCCAGCTGAGTGGCGCCACTCTGACCGCCCTCAAGTTCATCATCGCCTATCCGGCAGGCTATCACACCGCCAATGGGATAAGGCATCTCCTCTGGGACACCGGACGGTTCCTGAAGATCAAGGAGGTCTACTCCACTGGTTACGCAATGGTCGCCACCTCTTTCGTGCTATCCGCTATCTTGGCCCTGCTCTAAGCCCACGTCCCCGGCTAGACCAATTACATTTTAGTGCAAACACAGTGAAAATTGTTATATACTAAATACATGTAGTGTGTATATTTATAAAGGTGTTTGTTGTGTTACGCAATCCATTTTGTGGCTTTGGGTGTGCTGTACGTTTGTTTTTCACTGCAATTTGCAGGGTGTGCGTGTTTCAAACGATTTCGGAGATTGATATAGCGATCTCGCTTTGCTGGCCGGTTTAGAAGACATCTTTCGGTCCATTGACAGCGAAATCAAGTATACGCCCCGACCGAGCGATTTCCGATAACAAAATATCACATAAATGCGCCTAAAAGTAGGGAACACTTTTCTAAGGTGTACACTTGTCCATAAAAAATCTTAGAGATAAGCAACATTGCTTAGAAAATGTATTTATTTTTCGGTATCTCTTTGGCTTTCTTAATTATAAAAACGTATTTCTATAGATCCTAGAAAATTACATATAGAACTGAACAATCTTTTTACTATAAAAAGGATTCAGTTCATATGTAGAATCGATTTAAAAACATGTATTTCCTTATTAAATTATAGGATCTGAAAATGGTTTTATTGTTTATTAAGTAAATATCTTCGCGTTATTGTAGAAAAAGAAGTTCAGTTAACTTTTTTCCATACTTTGTAATTTATTAATTGTGAATTTTGGGTTATCATTTGTAAAAGCTGCAAACTGTAGTGCAACGGTTGTGTATGAGGCTAATATGTATCTAACAACTAATATCACAATCGATGTAATGTTATTGAAACTTCTTCTTCGGCGAATTATGATAGTGGAGTTTTCTATTGAATGGATCCATGCTTGCTGCCCTCCACGTTTTTTTCATTTTCACCATCGCTCCCACTTCCGCTTCCGCTTTCCTTTCCGTTTTCCGTCGGAGGCAGCAACTCAAAGTCGCACACCAGGGAAAAGTGATCCGATGGATACTGGAAGCTGGGTGTGCGGTTCTTGCCGATTTGCTCTCCGGCCGGGAAGTCTAGACAGTTTTTGATCTGAAATCGACAAAATAATTTTAAAAGAATTTATTACCTTTTGAAACTATCTCAGTGATCCTACCTTGAGGCGATTGGGTGTATAAAAAACATAGTCGATGGTGTGGCATTCCTCGCCTTCTTCGCGAATCTTCCAGGTTGTGTAGGGTGGTTCTCGTTTCATCGATTTCGAGACGAATTCACCGACATCCCCGCTGGGATGCAATACCTCCTCGCGGTCTAGCCTCACGTCGGCATAGGCACTACCCAAGCGAAGAAGATCACATCCTAAGATCGTTGCATAGATGGGCTCCACCGGTTCAGCATTGAAATCGCCGCAGAGCAGCAGCGGCGTATCGCCGGCAAACTGCTTCACGAACCTAATGAGATCGCGACCCTGTTCGTTGCGCAATTTGGCCAAAAGGGCGCCGTGGCGGGCCTTCAAGTGGGTGGTGGCCACACAGAATTCCCGACCACTGGAACGCATTCGCAGCCGGGCCGCAATGGCCACCTGGTTGCTCTGCACACGCCACACTTCCAGAATCCTCGTATCGTAACCCTGCAGCTGCAGTTTATCCCTCTTATAAAAGATGGCACAGCCATCGGGTCCATTGTTCTGTTCGATGTACAGGCACGGCGAATCCGGCTTCGGGAAGAAGATGCCTGCGTAATTCTGGGAACCCAAGACCTTCTGCAGGAACTTGAAGTGGTCTACTTCCTATTGGAATATATCACATTAAAGCGCGACTGCCTTAAGGATCGGGGTGATGGTGTGAATATACTTGCAGACAAATCACATCGGGCTGGTTCTGCAGTATCTCCTGGACAATCAGGTACTTGCGGTGGTCCCAGGTGAGAGCCTCGTCGGGGCAGCGCACAAATCCATCGTTGTGCTGGCCGAGAGCTGGATTTCCGATGGAGAAACCGGGTTGAAAACATTAAAATATATTAAAAAATTTTATCTTCCATGAAAATTAAATAAAATATATATTTTGAACAAATCCAATATAAATATATAATGAAATTTCGGTAAACTAAACCTAAATGATTTAAATCGTTTTAAATTTCTACATACTTTGAGATAGAATGTTCCACTGCAGCAACCGAATGACATCGCCCTCAACTGGCGCACTGCAAACTGCACAAATAGATTAGAATATAGCCCGTGGATAAGACAAGGATGCAATCCTACCCCTCGATACGGAGTTGAGCTGGAGGCATCGCAGTCCGTCGGCGACATCCTCGTCCCTCAGCAGCGGTTTCAGGAAGCCGCGGGTGAGCAGCGGTGGCTGCTCGATGCCACCGCCCCGCAATTGCTGGACGTGCTGAAGGAGTGCCGAGTTGCTCAGTCCGGCGGGCAGTACCAGGCCATCGTCCTGGGAGTCCACATTGTTGATCTTTGGAGCCGAGTTAAATGAGCCCATTCTGGAATACGATTGGGTGACTCAATTAGTGTAAAATCTTTACGCAATCAACTGTATACAAGCTCAAAAAACAAAGATGAACCCAATTGTAAAAGTCTATTGTAGGCAACTCTTTGTATGTGTTTTCTTTTAGCATTTCAATCGAAAACAAATTGATAAAAACTTATCGCAACAAACAAAAAACTTTCAGCGAATAACAGCAAATATACAACATCAATCAAGAACATATTTTTTTTACACATTTTCTGGTACTCACAAAGCATCGGGTTTTTTATATAGAATTTTTCTCAGTATGATGCTGAAAATGAATAGACTATGACTATGACGCTGACTCGTATAAAATTTTCCCATTTTCACTTTGCTGCAAGGAGTTATTTGATTGGCGTAAAAGTTTTGTGCGGAGGGAAGAAAAATATTAAGAATTGTTAGGTTTTTCAAAGAAATTTCATAAATTTAAAATATACAAAAAACAAAATAAATGTATAAATTAGAAAATGGGGGATTGAAACAAGGAGTTATTGATAAAGTGCTAAATAATCCAAGTTTGAACAATCAACTAATAAGTTGAAAACCATTTTTAAAACTCTATCTCAACTGAATATATATTTTCTTTTCATTTGAATCATTGTTGGTAGGTAGCTTAAGAATAGTTTTTGGCAATGTTTTCACTTTCATGCCAAACCTGTGTATAGAAAGGACTCTTTACGAAATCTTCAACTATAATACATTATTTACGGCTTAGAAAGCAAAGCTGATTTGCACTCATCGTTGATTCCCTTATCAAATAAATCTGACTTCCTGATACTGAATTCGATCACACTAATCTGCATAGCCTACAGCTAAAACTGAGTTCCCATATTGATGGATAGAACGTTTCTGGTTATCGTGGGTCTCAGTTTTCGGCAATTAGCACGTATGCTCTGATTCTAAGAAGATTACCGGCCACTAGGAGAAGGGCATTAGATAGGAGTGGGGGTAGGGGTAGGAATCTGGAACGCCCACGCGACGATAATCCGGCGAAACAAAAACAAAGGCGAAAATGTCGCTCGGTCAATAGCTTCGCAGCTGTTCGTCTGGTTTCCAACGATCCGCGAGAGAATCGAAACCAGTTCCCCGCCCGGGGATTGAATGGCGAATGGCGACTGGATTTGGGGCGTACGGGTTTCGGCATGTCACCGCAATCAATCACCCGCCGCCGGTGGATCAGCAGTTGCCCCTCATCTCTCATCTCACATCGCAGCCCATCTCCTCACCTGGTCAGCATCACTTTTTGCAGGTAGGCCTTGCGATCGTTTTTGCAGGGCGCCTTGTTGGCTCGCTTAATGGGTACTGTTGGCTCCATGTCTGCGGCAGGATCAAAAGGATTCGGATGTGTTTTGGATTTCGAATGGGTATCACTTTTAAGGGGGATGTGGTGATGCGGTGACTTTGCGATCTTGGGGGCGCCGGAACGAGGTGCGCTTGCAAGCGACTTTGGCGAAACTGAATGCCAACTGAAGTGCGGGGTTTTATTAGAGAGATCATTCGCGCTGAAGGCAGCGAAAAGATCGCGAAGAGAGCACGCACGAACGGGTATTTCGCATACGAGATGTATCTGCAAGATACTAAGCAGATGCCGATACAGATACCTCCAGAACGAGATCAATACGTTCGGCTCACGTGTAAAGAGCTACCGCGCCGAAATGCTAAACAAAAGAACGATTCTATAAGTAAGACGGGACTGACTGGGCTGGCTGGCTGGCTTGTTAAATATTAATGACTATCAGTTAATGAAAACAAAAGTGCTGTATGTATGCATGCATGAATGCAAAAAAGTGGAGAAAATAGCAGGCAGCATCCAGGCCAGCATCCTTAGATAAACAATGGCGGTGTTGTATGACTAAGCAGTGTCCCAAGTGTTCTCAAATGCAAATTGGGCAGACAAAAGATACAATTGTATCTGCACAATTTATACAGCAACGCAGTTACATGCCTAATGAACTGTCCGCCCAAGCTATATAGTAGCTATATCTGTATCTGTAGCCGATTCGGCATACGGGGCATTTTGGTTTTGATTTCGATTTCTATTTCGATTTCGTTACCTGGGAATCGGAACGGCCACACGTCTTGCGAACGTCTTCGATGTGACGATCAAACGCGACGTTTTCATTAGAAACTCCATTTTGAACTGTTTGTGCAAACTTTACGCTTGTCCCCAAGTCAAATATCACTTTCAGTTTGTTATCTTTAGGTTGCTGACTTTAGAACTGGGATTCTTGGTTTCTTAGTTAGATATTAGGATAACTTGAAATGTTTTATATTTAGTGTCAGTATGGCAATGTCAAAGAGACGCGGCCCCATCTGTGTTTCCTAGAAAGGTAAAATGATAATGTGGTTAATGTTTAGTAAATAATGATTTGTGTTCTCTTCGCTAAACGTTACTTGCAAAATGCCCACTAATCTTGGTGCGGAATTTCGAACAATTAGGCACGTGCCGAAACACTTTCGTGACCCAAACGCAATTAATGCGTTCATTGATAAAATCTTTTTAGTTCATTTACACTGATAAGACGGCCATTTAGTTGTCACTTATGAGTTATCACTTAATGGAAAGCCATTAAGTTTTCAGCTTTCCAATCGATAAGCCAACAATATTGATACTAAAGCCCATTAAAACTGAGTTTGATTGGGAGAATTTTAACAATGAGCCTTATTAAAACAGCACTTGTTGAAACCTACTATTCAATAAACTATAATATTCTGATAGTGCCGCTGCTTCACTTTATATTTGTATTAAATCTGTCGTTTTTCCGCCTTTCCTGGGGCACAGCTATATACTTGACTACCTATATGCACGTATACTGTCAGTTTTGTCATGATCACTTTCGCGCAAATTGTGCAAGGTTAGTTTTTGTTGCTCTCGGGGATCGGTTGTTGCTGTTGCTTTTGTTGTTGTCATTATTGTTGATTGCCGCTAAGTGGCTTTGAGGCCTGGCCAATGGCTAAGAACACTTGACACGCTGCCAGCCATGAACTTGATTTATAAGCGCGACAGCCGCGCTATAGCATACGGTTATGCTATATGGTGCCTGTAAAAACGAGTCTCTTACCTCACCAGATACAAGAGCAAATCGCGAGGCGGCTCGAACTCCAACTCTCCCATTCCAGTTGAAGCGGCGGCACTACTCTGGCCGAGATTGATATCGATACGGGGGGAGCTGGCCACGCCCAGCTCTTCGTCCATTTCCTTTTCGAATTCCAGTTTTCGCGCCGCCAGGCGCTGTTTCATCTGAACGGTGGAGGTCATGGCCGAGGTCTTGGCCACAGCTTCCGCGATCTCGTACTGCCTAAGGAAATCCTGACGCACACCATCCAACGTGAGACCTTGGGGACGTCTGCATTCGGGACCACACAGACGCTGGCACATCTCATTGATGGCCGACTGGCGATCGGTCAGATGACCGGCTGCCGTTTGCAGGCAATTCGAGCAGGGTATATCCCTGTGTCGATCACCAGCTAGCTCGCGATCGTCCTCATGGTGATTGGGTGGCTTGAAATCCTTTTCGTTGGGCGAGGGCGGCTCATCCGTTACGCTAAACAATTGCGGTGGCTTGTCATCCTCTTCCAGCATCTCTGCACCATTATCATTTCTTCGGTAGTCCAAAGGATTTGCCTCCAAATTCAGCAAAAGAGCTGTCACTGGCATGGCCTTGCCCAAGGCGGGCTGACGGCGATGGCCATAGTTTTCCCGTAGTCCCGTGCTCTTTTGATCCATTGCCACTGGTTAGTGATACTTTTAGGAGCCAGTTATAGTCACTTATCATTGGCCACGCTGCGTATGCGTAATATTCGATGCACTTCTGGCCGTTTAGAACAGCCAACAATTAATACGCGCGTGCGTTGCCTTTCCTTATTTATATCTTCTGGTCGACTCTAGTCGAGATCGAGGCAATCAAGTGCCAACTGCCAGTTGCTCAGTTCCCTGATCGGATCTCTCTCTGTAGTTTTTCATTAAAAGAGCAGACAGATTGCCGCTGTTCAGTTATTCAGTCATAGGTTTAATAAACGGCATGATATCGAAATGGCCGCTCTCATTCGATTTCGTTTAAAGGTAAACCACATTTTGTTTGAGTACTTTCCAAAATGTCAAATTTGTTATTTGCAAACTAGAGATTTCATTTCGATTGCCCAAAAGTCAGCAACTCAATGCCCAATAATACTTTCATCTTGACGTGACTTTAAACTTGACCCGATGATTCAGAATCGCAACGACAAGCGTTTTTATTATTTCGAAATCATAACAAACAAGATTTAACTTGAACTTACAGCCGCTTAAGGTTACACCGGGTGTAAAATAATTGCAATATATTTCAAAATTGTGTTTACACAACATGAATTTAAGGAAGTTCTTTGTATTGCGCTCATTTGTTTCTTAGTTATCAAGTGCTGCTGTGGTAAAAATCCCACACAGGAATTCCGTATTATGCAGCCTCAATCAATTACAGATAAATAAAGAACAATTTTCAATCAGCTGCGATTGATTAATTACGCTCTAAGTCAACTGCTTGTCACTCGACTTCCACACAAACATAATTAATTTTACGCCTCAGTTTGTTCCTCATCCCAAATTGCTATCTAAACCGAAAGAGAGGAAAGGCAAGAGCCTCCAATGCTAATTTGTAGCTAATAAATTATTATGCACTTTCATGATTTGCATTAATTCAAGAGCAAATTGATTGCAATTCATTTGGCTAATAAACTAAAAGCAAATTGAATGAACACAACGACTTCCATTAATTTCCGCAATACGACAAATTATGGTATCTATTTTCTCTTAAATCTTTTGAAGTCAATTGCTAAAACTTGTAAATATTATAATAGGTGAATTACTTTAAAGTTATGGAGGCTTTTGGCAATCGAATTGAGTACCATATAAAAAGTATTACAATAAATATTTTTAAATATTTTGAAATGTTCTTGAAAATCAGCCTAAGAGTAGGCAATCATTTTAATCTTACATTGATTTTACATTATGAAAAGTTTGTTAGACAACAAAATCGGTTTATATATAAGATTTGTGAACTTGAAAACCTCACAAGTTGATAGATAAGTTAACATAAATTCTATTTCATGTTAAGCAATTAAGAAACTATTACTAAGATACTATATATAAGAAAATTAAGAAACTGCAACAAGAATTTCCCTATGTCGTTGTTTGCTCAGCTGTTATTGAACTTTATCTACTTCAATGTTTATGTGCTATATTTTTAGCTGTACATACATACCTACATATATAGCTTCAGTCAATTTTCGATGTAGCACTAATTAAATATAATATTCTCTTCCCCTTCCGAAGGTGTGACTGCGCTACAAACGTTTAAATGGATCTCAATTTTTTTGGCAATGCACTGCGGAAAGTCGAGCGAAATCTACAAGAGCAGCGGCCGACATTGAGTTTTATTTATATGGCTATATGTACATACATACATATGAACCTGGGGATTCGGCCAAATGCCACATGAACTTAACTTAATTTGTGACAGGCCTTTTCCTCGTGGGAGTGATAAGAGGTTTTTGTTAATTCAGCTGACTATATTGTAGCAAGACACCTGCTGCCGCTGGCTGATCGGCTCATCGATTATTCATTTCATATAGAATAATCTGAAGCAAACAAAAAACGAATAAAAAGGGACAAACGCCAGGGATGTGATAACCTTATCAGGGTATGATACACACGACCCACTAGTATGCTCGACTATCAGATGACCTGTACTGGCCCCAGATGTAACAAAATGTAACGATTGTAAATACGCAAGCTGTGCTATCTCTCAATGCTTACACAACTGATTTATACATTGAAGGCTCCTTATCACATCTCTCGGGAACTCTTATTTAAACATTGGGATTTTTGTACCGCACATCAGCATATTCCTTTCGTCTCTGATTTTGTACAGGGTATAGACGAAAAGAGTACACGATTATTTTTGTTATACAATAGCATAGCGACAGATTGGGTCATATACACGTACTACATGTGCTGAGTATCGCAACGGCACTGGCTTGGAAAAAACTGGTTCTACTCCGGCAAAAGCTGATTCCATCTGGAGGCAAACAAAAACTTGGACCGCTTCTCCGGTCATTTTGCAAGTGGTTCGTTCAGTGGAGTAAACTGCATTGCTACATTCCATCAACTCACCATTTTGCAGCCTGCACTACAGAGCACTACCACACATGGTTAGTTGCCGATCGAGAAGTATCCAAACTGTCCGCCGGAGTTTCACGCGAACCGAGTGGGCGTCTAATGCGGACTGACAGGCGGTTCAAATGCTCTGGCGAGCTAAAAAGAACTAAACTCGATGGTACGTGCCTTGCGACATTTATACCAGCGCTCTCAGCGCCCGGCAGCTGATAAGGATAATGCCCGCTCTGTTTGTCTGGCCAACTGAGGCAGCACACCATCAATACACCATTAGTACACCATCAGTGCACCATCAGTACACCCATCATTACACCATCGGTACACCAACACCATTGCACAATCGGCCGGCGAGTGGACTTCTCTCTCTCTGAGATTTATGCTCTCCACCTCATTATCGTAATAAGTTCAATGGCTCACGCTCTCAGAGTTTGTAACACTAGTGTGAATTCGGTTTTCATTCTAATGGGCACACCCCGCGTATGAGTGATGCACAGTATTGAAGTGGTTAATAGCCTCTGGATTTTAGGGATCTGGATCATATTGTGCGGATCATACAATTTTCTCATTATTATATTCCCATATATAATTGTATTTTTATGTATTTTTTGCTACTCCACAGTAAATCACCATACTTGCGCCCATTTATTTATATTTTTTTGCTTCAATCTAGGATCTCTAGCATATTTAAAAGGCAATTCCTAATCGTTTCCTCCCTTAAAAACAAAGATCCAAAGACGTCGATCAAATGACTCAGTTACTTTGGACCTGAGTGGGTCAGTTCTGATCAATTTGTAATTTCGCGTTGATAACAATGCCATTGACATGAAGATTGTGTCTGGTCTAGTGTCTGGTTTTGTGGGCATATCTTATCGGTTACTTTTATAAGGTAGGGAACCACTTGAAAACGTTTTGCACAGCATAATTCGTTCGTGCGGGTCAGTTATAAAACTTTCAAATGGAATGTGATTTACAACTTATCGATTAGAACGGGGAATGCAACCAAAGTGACGTAGCCCGGATCTTGTTGGTTTTAATTAGTTTGGAGCGGTTGGTTTTGCGTAGTTCTCGCAAATCCTATACTCCCAGTTGGCCTGTCAAGGTCACTGATGAGTGTGAGTCCGTTGGCTGATTAGGTGGGGAATACAACTATTTCCACCATACATCTGAGTGTATTAAGTACTTTATTACGCGCAGCCAGTGGTCTAGCCGCCGAGATTAGATAAGGATTTCGAGTGGACCAACCGCGGCCTTCGGTATAAAGTTCACTTTTTAGTTTATCTTCTATACTATATGGTTCTAATTTAGGAGGTTTGTTCTCATGTACATGCCAGTCTGCTGGTCATACTCGGACCTTATCAATTGGTCTTTCGAATTGACAAAAGCGTGCTGTTCGCATAATAATACATACTTATATATATACATACGTATTTACTAATGCAAATCATAATTACTTCAGTAAATATTTTGGAATTTTAACTTTTTTCTACAACTTAAAGTAAATATTCTTATCTTATGTTTTTAACGGATTATATGCATATCAGTTTCGACAGTCAGCTGTGTCGTGTTTTTGTTTAGTTACTTTTAGTTAGTCTTTAAAATCTGATTGTTCATGTTAATATTAGGTTCAATACATATGTATATTTTATATTTCATATGTATATGTTAGTGATGGATAAGAATATATGACGAGTGCTGCCCAATCAGCTTATCTTATTTCATACATACAGGTATATGTATATTCAACGAAAAGATTAATTGGTAGATAATAGCTATTGGTTACACATTAATGTTGATGGATTAATAAATGAGTATATTGATCTATTGAATTGAAGTAAGGGCACAGCTATGTTCACTTACAAAGAATCTCAGGCAAATCGATATATACATAATTGTTACTAATAACAAGTGAAAAGGACATTTAATATGATTTCACAAAATTACCCTCAGTAACGAATGCGCTCAACAAGTGGATTACTTCGTAGACGGGAAATTGTGGTCAATTGTAATGAAATTACGGTTTCCTCCAACAAGGGATATCCACTTTAATCAGATCAAAAGATCTTATGTGCTCGTTGTAAATTATGTGTACAACGCCCTTTTCAGTTGACGAGCTCACCAAAAAAACAATCACACACAAAAGGACAGTTATAGTAATTAAAAACCCATTTCTTTGCCAACTGAAGTCACACACAGGCACTTGGGTAAATTACAATCTCCACATGGAACAAAGCACATCCAATTTCCTAGCGACCTCAAACCCAAACAAAAACGTGGCGCTACATTGGGGTATTTAAAGGGGTGGGGTGGGGAGGTAGCGCGGGTGAACTGCCGTCTCTTTCGCGCTCGCACTAGTCAGCAGATTGGAGCAAAATTTGTATTTTTGTGTAATAAACTGCAGGTCCGCAAACAAACCTCACAAACAATAAAGAAGAAACTAAAGGGAAAATAGCAAACAAAGAGCGAGACGCAAAAGCTTCACAAAGGAAACTTAATTTATGAAAAGTAGCAACAAACCACAAAATGTTTCCCCCTATTTGTTTTATCAATAAACTTCAAGATTTTTGCAATTTTGAGGGAGGAAAAAGGGCGAAAAAAGGACAAAGCCCGGCACACCCAAAAATCAAAAGTCTGTAAGTAATATTAGGTAATTGGGGCCACTTACAAGAGCTTCTTGGCGAATTTGTAGAATGCCACCAGTAGGTAAACAACTGTTGAAATCAGCTTCATCGTGCACACAGCCCTTTGTTTATGTTAATTGAACTTGTATAATTGGTGAAAACTAATTTTTAAGTGCCTTAAATTGAAGTTCACTTTCATCAAATCTAATTTTGTAACTTTCGTTAATGGTTTGTTTGTTTGTCGAAAATTTGGAAAAAAACAAGATCCCGAAAATTTTGTTAAAATTTCACTATCAATGTCATTTCCGCGTCGAACACGTTTTCCACACTAAGCGCGCACCACGAAAAAAAGTTGGAAGATAACGCTTTCTGTAACGTATTAGTATTGGTGCAAGGCGGCAGAAAGTAAAAGCCAAACTCAATGATGCACCGACTACCAAATGCGCTTTTCTCATTCTAAACGAAGATATATAAGATAAGGTAGACTCAGAGAGATAACTATTTTAGTTGTTAAAATATTTATTGGTTCTTAATTAAATATTAAGCAAATTCTTAGGGCAAATAGTTTATTGGGTAGCGCCTAACAATTCAAATAATCTAAATTACTAAGTACTTATTATTTTTAAGAAAGTTAATATACTCTGACGTGCACAGTCACGTCAATAAACTTTTGTTGAGAGCTAAGAGTAACACAGAGCTTTCGATTCTCTGCAAAGCTCCACGATTTCATCAGGTGTTGCAGAGCTTACGACATTCGTGTAAAGTAGGGTAAAAACTGAAACTTTTAATAACAGTTTACAGCGGCTACTTAACAGCAACATTACATCTTAAGCTGAGTCAGAAGTTAGCAGAGCTACAAAATTCGAAGAACTACATATATCCTTATGTAATTTGCCCGATCGGTCAGAAATTCGATGGCCTATATTCGTAAGCAGGTCCTATGCGAATGGATATGTTGGCGGGCTCGTTCAAACGCTCTTTCATCAGCCTGAAAATGGAATATTTTTAGCAACTTTGTTTTTATCTGGCTCACCACTGCATATTATCTCAAAGATTGTATCCAAATTAAGGCACTCAAAGTTTCTTTTTTGGTGTTTTGTAGGCTCATGCTGATTCGTTAAAACTTTTAGCTTTAATGTATGCCCACTTTTAACTAAAATCAAAATGTTTAAATAATAAAAACGGTCTATGTGCTTGAGTTTAGTTTCTTCTTTCTGTGAATTTTAAAGAGAAATCGACTTTTCCAATGAAAACAATTAAATTTAATAAATGTTTCAGCTTAGGCCCAATCTAGCAGGCAGACCTTGGGGTAAACAATAACAATCTAGCTTATCTAGGCCACTCAATTATACTATATGTATGTTTATAATGCGTACCGTTTATCTGCCTCGCTCTCGCAACTCCGATAGCCTTTCCGGCGTGCCGATTTGTTAAGACGTAACGATCGCCTCACTTCTTTGGGCAGCGGCTTATTCGTTTCGCGGCGGAGAAAACTACCGAACTTGTGGCACTTCTCGGCGAGATTGTGCCACACCAGCAGGATCAGGCGCGTGTGCCGCGAGGATGCGGATGGGGTTTTAGAGCCCTTGGCCCCACAATCGCACAGCTCGGTGGTGGAGACAACCCACGACGACATTTTGACACTGACTGACTTTGACAGGCTCTTCGACTCTCTAACAACCGCCAATAGCCACTTGGCTGGCCAATTGATAAGATTCTTAGTCGGCAATCGAAGCGTTTCAATGAGAGGCCTTCGTCTCTAACCATGTGCCAGATATGGCAGACAATAAGACTAAGACTGAAGCAGTGCCGATTGCTGCTGAATTAGCACCGCATTTAGTATTACCGAACATTTCACAAATCCGGCATAATTCCCTTTGCCATGAAAGCAGACGAAGCCTAGTTTCCTGCCCGAGGGACAGGACTCGGCAGTTGTGATATCAAAATGAAAACCCAAATGCAATGCACTGAAAAGGTGGTGGTAAAAGTATACCCTTCAATGCATTTTGTATTATAATGTGCATATCACTTTGTTTTCCCTTAAGTTTATTTTCGAAAATTTATATTTTTTGCTTTTAAACTTTTTCTGTTCAATTATAAATTTATTTTATTTTAAATTGATAAAGACTTATAAAATTGATAAATCCCTTATGTTAAAGAAGAAATAGCAAAACATAGTAAAAATATATATAGACAGAAAATAACCATTTTATATGCGATTTCGGTCTGCCGTTTGCCGTTAGTACAACATTTCAAATGCTTTGAACCATGTTTGTTGCATTCTAAGATACAGATACTAAATATACACTTTTCCTGGGCATGTATCGGTCAAAATATGATGAATAAGAAATATCTGGGCATAGCTTTAAATATTCTCTTGCAGATCCCTCTTTATCTAGCAACCACCAGCCTTCAAATGGGATCTTCCTTTTTCGCGCGCCATCACATTAAGGGGCCAACAACTGACGGCCGGCACTGTAGACAGGGGGCGAGATAAATGTATGCCCAACGCTGATGTGCATGCAAATCTACATTTTTGGACGATTGTCAGGGCAGGGGAAGTGGGTAGTTTGAGGACTGTGGGCCCGGTAGACAGATGTCAAGACATCAGATTCGTTTCTATGTATTCGGGGGCTTAGCATGCGGCATCCAAACCAAATATGATGGGATGGGGCGTGGAGAGGGCCAACTACATGAGCGCATTACAAGCACTAGCAACAACGGCTAAAGCAGCATAAATGTGCCAAAAAAAAAAAAACAAAACAAAAAAAAAATAAAAACAGCAAGAAAAACGAAAGAAAACAAATGAAAGTTTATGTTATAAAATGCCAAGTGTGGTGGCACAATCTATTGGCGAAAGAGGCGAGAAACAACAACAGCCACATGAGATGGGAATGGTAGAACGGATGGCATGGTGTGGTGCAGGCATAAAATAGCGTATAAGATAAAGGATATGGCCCAAGCCCCAACCCCCAACCCTCAACCCCCAACTCCCAGCCCAATGCCCCAGTTTTTGTGGGTTAGCTAGAAAATTGTAGCAAAAGTCAACATATGGCGTTAAAGATGCGAACGTGCAGCGAATCCTTGAAGTTTTCTCTATATTGCCGCAGCTCTGCAGTCTACTCTCTCTCTCTCTCTCCATCTATTTATTGCGCCAAGTGTATAGTGCTATCTCGGTCGCACACTAAAAATTTTAGGTGTTCTGTGCTAATGTTCGTTCTAAAATTTCACACCTAACTCTCCTTCAATGGGTAGTATATATGTTATCGTTTTTGACTATATACGTATTCAACTTTTAGGGTTCCATAAAGTCAAAAACTCCTTTTTAAACTATTGATATCGATTTCTGCAATACTTAAATGTAGTTTTCCTAGCCCAAAATTATTCCCCCCATTGATGCTGCATAGCAAACTGTTGTCCCCACTTAAAAGAGGGGATACCCATTTCCATTATAGCTCGTCTCGCATATGGAAACCGCAACTTTCGGTTACCATTCTCTATCCCCGAGGCCTGTCAAATCTTTAGACACCAAATCCCATCAGCTTGCGGAGACCTAAGAGTGTGCGGATAATTCAGAAGATTTTTTTCGCCACATTTCCGGCCCGTACGTATCGACCGACCATTTGGCTTAAATATTTTATGCAAATTTTCAATGTAATAAAAATTGTTTCTCCTCCGGCCAGCACAGGCACAGACACAGACACAACTCACATGGCCGTGCAGGCAAATAAAAATTGATGCCAATGCCGTTTGTCTTTCAATACATTGTTCCAGCATCCTTCGTTTTTTATTTTATTTTTTTTTTTTGGCATTCCTACCCGCCTGACAGTGTGTGTGTGTGCAATGATTTTCAATATGTCGCAACTCTCGGGCCGAACTTGCGCTATCTGTCCACCCGCCAATACCCAATACCCGGCTAGCCAATACCCCATACCACTTAACCCATACCCCTTAACCCATACCCATACCCCTTGTCCCATGTCGCCCATCTCGGACTTGCCTCAGAGCAGCTTGAAACAAATGCCGAGTTAATGCTTTGGCATATACGTCGCCATCGCCGATGTCGACAATGAATGCCGCATGGACATGACCTCAATTGCGTTGGATACAGCCGCACACATACGGGCACATCTGTATGCACATATATCGGTTTGATCGACATCAATACGCAAGGGCCGTAATATGTGTTAACCCGCCAGGACCTCGTGTCCTTTCGCTCGTCAGCTCGCCAGCTCGCCAGCCAGCCATCTCGCTCCCGCAACCGCACCGTGGCAGGAATAACACATCGCCATCACTGTCATCTTTTAGGCTGACAAGTGCGAGTGCGGCATTACGAGACTGACGTCGATATCGACAAGTGCAGTAGTGGCAGTAGCAGTCGCACTACACTGTAACAATTTTAGTGTTATGTGGCGAAATTGCAAAACACTTACAATCAAACTAATGCGATTTCAAGGGCTTTTAAAGTGTGCCCAAAAGAATAGTATGAAGAATATGCAGGTGCATTATTTTAGACATCTTTGAATATACTTACAATTGAGTAGCAGGCACTTGCATTTCACAGTGCACTACTCCTGCGACTTTCCGAATTTTTCTTTGGTGCATCTTAATCCAAGTCAATGCCACCACGTCACTCCATGCCACCATTTCGGTTTAACATATTGTCAGTTGGCTTACGTTCGGTTGCCATTCTTCTTGTTGGTCTGGGTTCGGATTTCTTCCTCCATCAGTGCTTTTATTTGGGTGTGATGAAAATTGAGGCGTCGACACTTTGTGTCCAGGTAGATTCCCAAACCATCTCGGTCCCACACTCGATGGCTGTCTCAGTCGACTGTCTGATGGGTTCATTGTTTGCGTTTATGATGCACTTAAATTTAATATTTAATTTTAATGTATTTTGCCAGCAGGCTTATCCTTGGGTGGAGCATGTGTTTGGATGGCACACACAGCAAATGTGGCCAGCGCAGTGGCAGGGAATAGGTTAACGAACTACCTTTTGAGAGCAAACGTGGTCACGCAATTTAATTATTGGTTGCTGAAAATTAAAACATTGAAACATGTAAAATTACTATATTTTTTTGAACATATTAAAATCCATGTGAAATTAATTACTTCACAAAATGTAAGCCTTTAATGTGGGTAGTTCAAAAGTTACTGCTTGTGATTGAAATTTGGGAGAGTTTATCCAGAATTCAACTTCTTTGTTCTTTGCCCTTGCTGACTCGCCATTTGTTGCATACTTTCTGGCGTTTTGAGGGTCGTTCATTATGTATTGCCGTCTCGTCCTTATCGTCCTTTGTGCTCGATAGCGTGTGGGCATAATTCCAATCAACAGCTTGCATCGATAAGTACATAACACTTAGCCAACGAGCCATCGAGACCTATCTATATGTGTATTTATAGAACCAGTCTAATGAGGGTCCTGGCTCTAAGCTACCTGCCACATTGGTGAAAGGCGGGCGAAGCGCAGAGAGAAAGAGGGAAACATAACTTTGAGTGTCTCGTAAAAATTTCAATTATCCTAAATGATTAACTTTGTTTATTACAGCCGTTGAAAAACTGGGTGAACTGGTGTAGCGGTGGCAACCTCGGCCTGCCGTCGTTGGTGGCACATCATTTATCAGTTTATGACTTGATTCTATTATTTATTGGCACTCGAATGGAAGTCGTCGGTGCTCACGGCATCGTCGCAATTTCAATTATAATTATGTGCAAATCGTAAAAAAAATGAAACAAAGAATAACACAGTGTGGGTGGTTGGCCCGTCTAAGATAAAAATCACTTAGTGGAGGGCACCCACACACACACACGCACGCACACACGTACGCATGAAAAGTTTATGGCTTACAAAAATCGTTAATAAATTAAGCGGAAATATATTTTCCTGTCGTGGCTCGAGGGTGATTCTACCCCCGCACTCAGTTTTTTTTTTTGCAAATAATGCTTTTTGGCTCTTGGTAATGGTTTTTTAATTTTAGTGTCGTTGAAATTATGGTCTAAACAATAATTTAATAAGTTTGGGTCTTATGCTGCTGGCAAACGAACTTCGTGGGCAGCGTAAATAATTTTCATTTTCCCATTTTTAGACCCCCATTTTCCACCTTACACCACCACCTTACCCCCCACCACCCGCGCACTTCTCATATTCAGTGGCAACATTGTTATTTATATGCCCTCGTTGTTCCTGTTGTTGTTGTCGTTGTTTCGGCCAGCAGGTGGGAAAGTTGTTTCAGTGGGTGGTGTGGGTGGTGGTGCTCTTCTTAGCCAGAGGGTTGAAATAGTCGTTTGTATGCGACAGGTCTGTTACACCAAATTGTTTTCCACCCCCTCCACCACAACCACCACCGCAAAAACCAGGGCACGCACACATAGCCAGCGGTTATTAGCTATTGAGCATACAATTGACTTTCGCACAAAAGCTGTACCTGTTGGATTTTAATAAATGCATTTTTTTGGGATTTCCCATCTCCAAAAACTTGAAATGCTGCAGCTCATCAGTCTGTGCAGTTATGAAATATGACCTGCTTAGCAAGGATCACACATAATTGAGTTTACATTTGCGTTACTCGAAATGAGACCGCATCACTAAGATCCAAGTTTCTTGTATTAAAGAAACCTCTTCAGCGTAGTTAGGTAACTCATATATCATACTGG